CTTCAGTTAATGAGCGAGTCATTATGTTAATGTGTCATTTGAATGCAGGCGAGACTGAGACGACTCAGCCACAATAACGCCAACAAAGGACCGCAGAACCAGCCAGGTGTGTCGACGACGGCGAAGAAAGGGAAATTGGAGGAAAGAACGGAGGGGAGGTCTGGAAAAGGGGCGAAGAGGCCCAGTGCATGAGGTCGCGTAATTCTGGGGAATGTCTGACACATACACCGTGCATGCACACGCGTGCCAGTTACACACATGCAAGCGCCAACGCGCACGCACACGGACACACACCCACGGACACACACACACACGGACACACACCCACGGACACACACGCACACGGACACCCACCCACGGACACACACGCACACGGACACCCACCCACGGACACACCCACCCACAGACACACACACGCACACGGACACACCCACGGACACACACACACACACACACACACACACACACACACACACACACACACACACACACACACACACACACACACACACACACACACACACACCACACACACACACACACTCACACACACACACACACACACACACACACGGACACACACGGACACACACACACACGGACACACACACACACACGGACACACACACACACGGACACACACACACACACACGGACACACACACACACGGACACACACACACACGGACACACACACACACACGGACACACACACACACGGACACACACACACACACGGACACACACACACACACGGACACACACACACACGAACACACACACACACGGACACACACGAACACACACGAACACACACGAACACACACACACACACACACACACACACACACACACACACACACACACACACACACACACACACACACACACACACGGACGCACACACACACACGGACGCACACACACACACGGACGCGCACACACACACGGACGCACACACACACACGGACGCACACACACACACACGGACGCACACACACACGGACGCACACACACGGACGCACACACACACACGGACGCACACACACACACGGACGCACACACACACACGGACGCACACACACACACGGACGCACACACACACGGACGCACACACACACACGGACGCACACACACACACGGACGCACACACACACACGGACGCACACACACACACGGACGCACACACACACACGGACGCACACACACACACGGACGCACACACACACACGGACGCACATACACACACGGACGCACATACACACACGGACGCACATAAACACACACACACACACACACACACACACACACACACACACACACACACACACACACACACACACACACACACACACACACACAGAAAACACACACACACACACAGAAAACACACACACACACACACACACACACACACACACACACACACACACACACACACACACACACACACACACACACACACACACACACACACACACACAGAAAACACACACACACACACACACACACACTCATTCACTCACTCACTCACTCACTCACTCACTCACTCACTCACTCACTCACTCACTCACACACAGGCCAGTCTCGTAATTTAGGTAAATATATGTATATATATACACGCGCCCACATGCATTTGCATGCATGTACGTTTATGTCTAGTATCATGTAAGTACTTATATGTAAGTATAAGTGGTGGCACGTGTGAAGTTGTAAAACTGAAAGTGAAAAGAAAGGAGGAGTGGTGCTGATAGAAGTGTGTTCCTTCAACACATTTCACGGTCTCGTGGACGCATGCAGCTCATGGTGACGTTATCAGTCGGCGCGTGATTGTTTTTTCTCCGCGAATGTTTTCTTGGCTCTCGGAACGCAGGAGTGGGAAAAGCGCATTCCGGGAATGGTTTTCAAACGAATTTTTCTTTACGTTGGATGTGCTGTGATACATGCATGCTTAATACCTTTTCGCTGCGACTAGGAATGCAAACAGACGTAATGAAGTTACATTAGATTCGGATTCATTTGCACACTTTAGGAGCTCTGTTTTTTTTCAGTCAGTCTTGGTGTTATCTCGAGGCCGCTTCCGTTCGCGGGGCTCTGCGTCCCCGAGGTAATTGCCATCTGACTTTGTCGGTGTTGCTCAGAACCATTAACCTCTGAGAGACTTTTGCTTCCGACCTTGCGAGTGCTTCCACACTGACTTGTGCACGCACCTTGCGTGCATATTCCTGTTAGCTATATTCTATGTTGCAAATACAGTGTTATATAGGTAAAGGTATCTATTGCGTGTTTGTATGTGTACTAGAATACGCTCTCGTAATCACCTTGTACCAACGCGTCTTTTGTGCTTGTTCGATGGTTACATTGGACTT